CTGTACGTGATGCGTTGCATCCTTTGTTGCTATGAGTATTTTCTCTTTTGTTATTGGCTTTGAAAATGTGATGGTAATATGTCCCAGTGTGGATCTGGTTGAGTTTAACCTACTTGAAATTTGTTGAGCTTCTTGAACATGTAGACTTATGTCTCTCATCAAATTTGGGAAGTTTTGGGCCATAATTTCTTTAGATGTTCTCTTTCTTTCTTTCTTTCTTTCTTTCTTTTCTGGGGTTCCCTTATTTTATATATCATTTCTTCTGAAGATGCTCCACCACCCTTTAGACTCTCTTCACTTTTCTTCATTCTTTTTCTTCTCTTCAGACTGTATAATGCAATTGTTCTGTCGTCAAAATTGCTAATTCTGTTTTAGCTCAAATCAATTCTTTAAACACTCTTCTGAAGTTTTTATTTTATTCTTTCTTTATCCAGAACTTCTTTTGGTTCCTTTTTTTATAATTTCTGTATTTTTGTTGATATTTTTATTTTGTGCATGCATTTTCCCCTGATTTTCTTTCATTCTTTGTACAGGTTTTTCTTTACATGTGTGAGCATATTTAAAATGGTGGATTTAGTCCTGACTGGTGTGGCTCAGTTAATTGGAGCATCATCCTATACACCAAAAGTTTGTCAGTTCGATTCCCAGTCAGGGCACATGCCTGGGTTGCAGGTTCGGCCCCTGGTTGGAGTGCATACAGAAGGCAGCCAATTGATGTTTCTCTCACACATTGGTGTTTCTCTCCCTCTCTTTCTCCCTTCCTTTCCTTCTCTCTAAAATAAAAAAATAGAAAATAATTTTAAAAATGACATTGGATTTAAAGTCTACTACTAAGTTGAATGCTGTGCTTTCTCAGGAATGGTTTTTTGTTAATTGATTTTGATTCTTAAATGGACCATATTTTCGTATTTCTTTGTATAATTTGTGACTTTTTTTTTGTTGAAAAGTGAACATTTGAATAATGGTAACTGTGGAAATAAGCTTCTCCCTTCCAGGTTTTGTTGTTTTTTTGATTGTTGAAGATGGTAGGTGACCATTTGTTTAATGAATTCACCAACCTTTTTCAGAAACTGTGTTCTTTGATATGAACACAATTCCTTTGCTTGTGTTTTGAGAGAGATTTCTGTGACCCCAAAAAGCTAAACAAACAAACTAACAAACCTTCCAGTCTTTATGGATTGAGTTTGTGCGGGGTTCTCCTTTAACACTTAAAGGCTAGGGAGCCTGTGTTGAACCTAGGGATCAGCCTCAGATGAAAACTTAAGTCTTTTCAGGTCTTTTCTGAGCATGTGTTTTGCCCCAGCCTTTCAAAATAACCCTGTATACACAGGGATTTGATTGCCCTCTTTTCTCCTTTTCCTCCCAGGCCTCAGGCGGTCTGTTTTATGTCTCATTTGTAATCTTTTGCCCAGGTAGCTGTGGATCACCTTACAGTGTTTTTGAGCAATGCCTGCTGCTTTTCCACATTGAGCAAAATCTGGTGAAATAGAGAAGAGTGCCATGTGTCAGTCCTTCATGTAGTCCCCAGACAAGTTAGAACAAACATGAACAAAGATTTGCAAAGATCTCTTCTGCTTCTTCTGAAACCAAGTACCAGGGTCCCATGCTGGGACATTGGCTGATGTCTTCAAGATTGCCTCCACATCAAGGAGTGTGTAGGGCCCAAACCATGTGGCTTGGTTGAGCATCATCCTGTAAAATGGAAGCTCACCACTTTGATTCCTGGTCAGGGCACATTCTTGGATTGCAGGTTTGGTCCTTGGTAGGGGTGCATGTGATTGTGTCATTTATGACACAGTCTTCACAATTGATCAACATATCTGTGTGGTGGCATGATAGTGAAAGTTTTTGACCTTGTCTGGCAGTGTTCAAATGTTAGCGTGGTTCAGAATCACCTGGTAGACTTGTTAAAATGCAGATAGCTGGTCTCCTTTTAACTGAAAAAGCAGTTTCAGCTGTCTGCCACAAGAATAGCCAGACTCGAGAGACAGGTTCTGGTGCAAAAGGAGAGGGCTTTATCTAGGTGCCATGAGACCTGGGTGAATGGTGGACTTCCGTCTCAAAGGCAATTCTCCTTCCTTCTCAAGCTCCCAGTTCTTACAGGGATAGGGAGGGGGCACTTTTTTCCTATGCAATAATCTTGATAGCTTTGGATGCACTGGGGCCCCGTCCATTGATCTTTCTAGCTTTTGGAGTGCTCAGTGTAAAGAACCTCCCTCTGCCACCATCTTGGCCAATGACAGAGACTCCCCCGTGCTCCTGGGGACTGTGTATGTAACATCCTCCCCCAGAATTTCTGATTTAGTAGATCTAGGCTGGGGCCTGAGAATTTGTGTTTCTAATAAGTTCACAAGTGAGGCTGTTGCTGCTAGCCTGGGGACCACATTTTGTGCTTTAGGCCAACTTTCACCTTTTCCAGTATTTCTATTGGCACAGTCTATTTCTTTTTAAGGTAGCCCATTCACTGTTAGACAGTTCTTCTAAATCACCCTTTTGTTATTTCATCCAGTAGTTCTAATTCTGGCCTTTGAAGTAAGAAGATTACTCTCTTAGGAGGTAGCCCTCATGTATTTGAAAAGAGCTATTCCTGTCCCCTTCCCTCGCCATCCCCTTCTTCTCTTCCTCTTGTCTTCCTGGTTAAACATTTATAACTCCCCTAATAGTTATTGGAAACGAACTGTAATTTTTAGTTATGATAATTTTTACTATTGTCATAGCAGGGTTATGTTCGTAGACTTGTTTTGCTTTCTGTACCCAGGCTTGAAAGCATATCACCCAAGTCAGAAACCTGCAAGTCATTTTAGGCTCCTCCTCCTCCTCAAGGTTAACTTCCTATTTTGGTTAGAAATTATTTGATCAGAGAAGTGGCAGAAACCAATTTGATCTCGTTTAAGTAAAAAAGAACTTATTATAAGGGTACTGTGGTATCCCATTGATCCTGAAAACATGTAGTTTGGCTGGACCTTGTAAGCGATTAGAAATGGGAGCTGGAAAACTGCAAGAAGTAAGTTAGTGTGGAAGTCAGTAAGGACATTCTACTTCCCGTGCCCTTTTTCTTTCTCTCTTGGGTTATTTGTGGTTTTGTCTTATTTGCTTCATTCTCCTATCCTGTTCCTTAATGACTTCTTGGATAAACTCAATAATGTTCTGCTATTTTTAAAAGTTTAGTCTAGTTGAGCAAAAGACACAGGGCACAGAACAGTTCATACTGAGTGATTCATATAAAGGTTTTCACTTTATATAATCTATCCTGTTAGATGCCTGGATAGTGGTTATTCTGGAGGGATCTGGGGTAGTGACTGGAAGGGAGCACAGGGACTTTCTGGGTTGCTTGCTTATGTCTTTAAAAAAAATCTTGGTCTGATTACATGCATATGCTTAAGTTGTAAAAATTTGTTGAGATATCCTTAGGTATGTGTACTTTTATGAAAGACCAAGGTTCTTAAAGTAAAACCTACAAAGACATCCTAATTTAAAAGTTAAATTTCATGTGCAATTTTATTTATATTTTCTTTCCTGTGCAAGGTTTTGACAGGGGAGACTTGGTCTAAGAAGAGGAATGACCCACTTTCATTTTCCCCCTCTTTTTTCTGACTTATTTTCTTTGGTATGTTATGATAGGGAATAGGGAGATTGGAAAGGACATGATTTTCTCTTAACTGGTGATGATCTAGTTCTCTGTTGGTTGTTGTTCCTTTTATTTTTAAAGATTTTATTTATTTATGTTTAAAGAGAGGGGAAGGGAGGGAGAAAGAGAGAGAGAAAAACTTCAGTGTAAGAGAGAAACATTGATTGGCTGCCTGTCGTGTGCGTCCTGACTGGTGGCCAAACCCAAAGCTCAGGCATGTGCCCTGATGGGGAATAGAAGTGGTGACCTTTCACTTTGCAGGACCACCCCAACCAACTGAGCCACACTGGTCAGGGCTTGGGTGTTGTTCCTTTTCTGGCTAAGACTAATTGTTCATGCATTCAGTGTGACGGTCATCCAGTCAAGTGCCGGCTCTTTTATGGGATGGGACCTTTGTCTCTCTGTGTTGCCTTCATGTAGGATATTACTTCAGTTTGGTATCTTCCAAACCTTCTTGTTTTCTTCTACCCAAATCTTCTTGCTGAGTGTGTTATTTCTGAGTGGCCAGGCCTTTTTGTGGGTTACTAGCATTAGTGCCCAAACCCTGCTTCCATCCATGGTTTCTTCTTGATGCGTAGGTACTGTTTCATTATTGACACATCAAATAGTGGGAATTTAGGCTGCTCCTTTGCTGCCTTCTCTTTTTATATTAACTACTGCTTCCAATTCTCCTTTCTCACGGCTCACATCAATTGCTTTAATTATACAGTGCCTTGATATCCCCCTTTATCCTTTTATACATTTACTACCAATTAAATATACTTTTTCCTTCTGTTGATATTTTTCATCAACTTCACTTCTCTCTTTATGCTTGGTCATTTGTAAATTATATTCCAGGTAGCCACCACCAACCAACATTAGCGCCTTCCCATGTTTGTGAACCCACCAATCACAGTATATGATCTTAGAGGCCTTCAAAAAAATCTTTTCTCAAGGAAGTGGACATTTTTCCATTTTTGTCCCTGTGGCTTCTAGTATTGGCCATGGTACCAGTTACTTGAGTCTTGTTCAAGTGGCTGGTAACACAGATTCAGGTATTTCTCTTTATGCTTCTCATTTTATCTTAGTACTTAAAAAAAGATTTTATTTATTTTTAGAAAAAGGGGAAGAGAAACATCAATGTGTGGTTGTCTCTTGCATGTCCCCAACTGTGGACGGGGGCTGCAACCCAGGCATGTGCCCTGACTGGGAATCTAACTGGCTACCTTTTACTTTTTGGGACAGTGCTCAACCAAGTGAGCTACACTGTTTGGAGCTTGTCTTAGTACTTTCTAGATCAGTTTGATGTGTAGAGATGTTTAATATAAAGTTCTTAGACACTTTCAGAAAAAGACATTAAAGACTAATGTTTTATTTTTTTTTCTGTTTGAAGGATGTGATACCTGGACTTAGTCCCCTGCTCTTCAGGAAGCTCAGTAATCCTGACATATTTTCATCCACTGGAAAAGCCAAACTTCAGCGACAACTTAGTCAGGATGACTGTAAGTTATGGAGAGGAAGCCTGGCCAGTTCTTTGTCAGGTAAGTACCTAATTTTTTTTTTAAATGTATTGGGTTGTGAATATTTAAAGGTATACCAACTGAATTGGCATTTAAAAAGTTAATTGATTTTAGAGAGACAGAGGAAGGGAGAGGGAGAGAGAAAGATTGATTTGTTGTACCACTTATTTATGCTTTCTTTGATGGATTCTTGTATGTGCCCTGACCAGGGATGAAACCTGCAATGTTTTTGGTGTATGGGACCATATTCCAACTAGAGCCACCCAGCCAGGGCTCTACTAAAGTTTTTACCTCCTAATTTAGCAGGTATATAGCAGTATATATGTGAAACTTATAAGGGAACCTGATTTCACTCTCATTCTCTAAACATGTAAATTCTTGAAGAATTTTTATTTATTTATTGGTTTGCAACTCTGTATTTCCATATAACACAGTGATAAAAAATAACACAGTAAAAAGGAGGCACTGAGCCTCCCTTTAGTCACTCTTTGGAGCCTGCAGAATTTATTCCTCTGGGGTTTTGTTTTCTTGATTAAAATTTGAGATGTGATCCAAAATTTCAGTGGTGCAAAAGCCCATTGACTGCAGTTTCTTTCAACCATTACTTACCTTGGTGTCACAGAGGGCTGACTGTCACACATCTGAGGTCCTGATGGTGGCAGGTTTCTTACTCAGGTGAAGGCATCTGAAAACTTCATATGCAGACTCTCCACCTGCCACTAATTTTCTCTCCTTAGGAGGGCCAAGGATGCCCTGCTTTCAAGTCATCCTGGCACTGCCTCTGTGCAGAGTTTACAACTGACTGGTTTGCACTTGTCTAGAGCCTGACCAGGGCTCTGACAACCTAGCAGATAATGTAGGAGAAAGGGAAAAGCCCTTAATTTTACTTCCTTCTTTTTCCTCCTTCCAAACCACTTATATATATGTCATTAAACTTAAACATACATTTAAAAATTTATATAAATATACCCAAACTTTTTTATTTTAAAAATAATAGATGGGGTGATATGCTACCTACTTTCTGATTTTTCACTCAACAGGAAATATTGAACATTTTTCTCCTGACTACATGTTGAGCACTTCATTATTTTTACTGGATTCAGTATTTCATTATGTGGAGATATTATCATTTCTTTAACCTGTAATGAACATTTGCCTTATTTCTAGTAATACTATGGTGAGAATCACTAAGGTAAACATTCTGGTCTACTTTTTTTTTCTTTATACTACATTTTTACAAGTGGAATGCTGGGTCCAAATATATTCAAGTTAAAATTTTAATAAGTTTTGCTGAATTGTCCTCTAAATAAGTTGCACCACATTTTGTTTGTAGTAAAAAAGTATGTAGTCGGGAAACCAAACCAAAACCTCCGTTTGCTCATACCTTTATTATAGTGGGTATTTTCATGACGAATAGGATTTTGTCAGGAAGAGGAAGGTTTCCGAGTGAATAGGATAAAACCACTTGAAAGTGCAGGGCATAATATTGAAGTTCAGTGAGTGAATGGGTATGGAACACTGGAAGGAGATGAGGCCAGTTAGATAATCTGGGTTTATGGAGGATCCTTTTAGTATTTTAAAAGTTTGGCTTAATTCTTTAGAAGTTTTTAAGGAAGGGAAAGACATGACCCCATTTGTTTTGGTTAGGTAACTACCAGTAATGTAAAGAATGATGTGAAAGAAGGGGTTGGACTGGGACTTGTATCTCAGTTAGAAAGTTGTTGCAATTCTAGATACTCAGGCTTTATTAAGTGACTATCTTGTAGTCTTTCAATGGGTTTAAGGTAGAGTCCTGGCCAAATACATGGAGTCTTGTGAGAGCAGTATGGATTCAGTGTTTGTCTTCTGGAGACCGAAGGGCCGAACTTGTCTAGAAGAATCTGTCAGCTCCACTCATGTTGCATTGAGTTGGTGAGAAACTAAGTAGGATGGAAGATACTGGAAAACTAGCCTGCTAGGTTGGATCTCAGGGTATGGGGTAGAGAGTAGCATGGTGGTAGATATTATAGAGAATTTTTAAATAGTTCATGATTGGAATTTTTAAAGGGTTACAGATTCTGAAATGGATATGGAGGAACTTTGTTTTAGATCGATATACTTTTATCCACTTGATATCATTGTATTTTTTCATTAACTAATTCATGCATAATTACAAGTATATTTTCCAAACCTTGTGTTTGAAGGTAAGCAGCTGCTTCCCTTGTCCAGCAGCGTACATAGCAGTGTGGGACAGATGACTTGGCAGTCTTCAGGAGAAGCATCAAACCTGGTTCGAATGAGGAACCAGTCCCTTGGACAGTCTGCGCCTTCTCTTACTGCTGGCTTGGTAAGTGTTAATAAAGATCGTCCCTTGCCTTATGAATAAATCCTTGATTGTCATTTGTCATTGCCACATCAATTATTTTCCTGTTTAGGATTTGGGTAGTTTACTTTCTCAAAGTGAAGAATAGAAAAAGAATGGAATTTAGATATATGTCGATTGTTCTCTTATATTGTCACCGATACCAGTTATGTACTGAGAATTATAAAAAAGATTCAGTATGATTGTGACTTTGATGAATAAATTTCCTGGGAAAGAGTTTTCTTACAGAAATGATTCTAAATCTTGTCAAGTCATGTTGCTTCTGTGTACAACTCTGTGGTATACCCATTTAGTACACGAGATAGGGAACACTTTTGTGTGCATTGGGAATTTCAGTATATACTGAATGAAAGAATGAGCCTTTTCTTTGTTTCAGCTTTCTGTGATAGACAGGACCTAACAAAGGTTAAACCGTGTACTCTTGGCAGGTGATTTTCTGCCTGTGATTGCATCTTGGACCCTTTTACCCTCAGTGGCCCTGCCACTTTACTTACCACACTCATTGACTTTCTGCTAATCTCACACTTTTCCTTCTATAGAACAAAGACACTAGTGTTTGTAGGGTACAATAACAGAAACTTGTTCCCATTAAATTATAATGTTATATACTCTGTAGGAGTATGAGTCTTTTGGGTTGGCATACATGGAGTAGAAAGCTTTGTTCACTTGTTCATTCTGGGAAGTTGGAATAGGGGAAGAAGTCTTCTTACAATAGGTAAAAAGTTAATTTTTGGACCAAAAGATTTCCTTATATGACCTGAAGTTTGTGATTCTTAGGCCACAGAGAGAATCGGGATCAGAAACATCCCTCCTTCCCCAACTTTTTATTTTGAACATTTTAAACCTACAGAAGACTGGAAAGAATGGCACAGTGAATACCCATAAAAGCTTACTTACATTGAGCAATTTAGTTGTAATTTTATATTTTGCTTCTTTTTATCTTTGTGTATGTATATAATTTTTTTCCTGAAACAGTTCAAAGCAAGTCATAGACATTATGATGCCTCACCCTACTTAAGTATTTCTCCTTAGATCAAGGACAGTCTCCTAAATAACTATGCTATATGATCAGATTCAAGAAATTTAATTTCAATTAATAATAGTATTTAACATAGGTACTATATTCAGATTTTTCTACTTGTTCTTAACGTATCTATTAAAGCCCATCTTTCCTCTCCCACCTTTTAACCTCTGGAACTTAAAAAATATAGCACCATGTACCTTCATAGAGATTTTGATCCAGTAGTTACGACATGGTCCCAGGCATCTGTATTTTCTTTAGAGTATTATATAGCTTCTAACATGCACCCTTTTGAAAATTATTGCCACTAAGGTAAAGCTGAATGTTTTAATTTAAGAGTTTCATGCTCTACCAGCTGAGGGTGCTGGTAAAGGGGACAGAATGTTTCATTTTAAGGTGGTATGTTGCAGAGGGAATTCCTTAGTCTAGACCAGGGGTCCCCAACTTCTGGGCCATGGACTAGTACCGGTCCAGGCCTGTTAGGAACTGGGCTGCAGAGCAGGAGGTGAGCTTGAATGTAATGTGGTTAAATCATCCTGTAACCACCCTTACCCTGTCCTGGTCCGTGGAAAAATTGTCTTCCAAGAAACTGGTCTTTGGTGACAAAAAGGTTGGGGACTGCTGATCTAGACCAACTGACGTAGAGTATTTGTGAATTATTTGAAAAACAAAAAAACCTTATTGAGATATAATTCACATATCATACATAGAATTCATCCATTTAAATTGTACAATTCAATGATTTTTAATATATTCACATATATGTGCAGCCATCCCTGTAGTCAATTTTAAATATTTTCAGCACTTCAGAAAAAATCCATGTACCCTTTAGCTGCCAATTCCTTATCTTCTCACCCCTTCCAACCCTATGTAACTGCTAATCTACTTTCTGTTTCTGTAGATTTGCCTATCCTGTACATTTTATAGAAATTAAATTACATTATATATGTGTCTTTTTTGTGTGGCTTCTTTCATTTAGCATACTTCTAGCTGTGACATTTCTCAAAAATCTGTCTTGCAGTGTAATCTTGTTTGTGAATAGAGTTATGGCTATACAAGATCTGCCCAGAAGGCATTCAGTAATATAATATGAAAAATAGAGACATTTATTGAAGAAGATACAAGACACAAGAAACATTGTACATAGGATAATGACACCTCAGTCCCTTTCAAAGTAAGCACGTTGGGACCTCACACAGTTCTCTCATTCGCCATCAGCTGCCCTGTTGTATTCTCCTGAATCTCATGGATGGTTTGAAATCTCTTCCCTTTCAGAGGTGATTTTAGTTTTGGGAAAAGCCAGAAATTGCAGTGTACCAAATCTGGGCTGTAGGCGGACTGAGTCACCTTGGTAATTTGATGTTTCACCAAGAACTCTGCACGAGATGTGAGGAATGAGTGGGCACATTGTCATGATGAAGCTGCCAATCACTGGGTACCCATAGCTATGTCCTTCTGAATCATCCAAATAGTTTCTGTGGAGGAATGTTCAAGGTTAATGCAAAATTTGATGCAGATTTGTTGCTCTACTCCCTCTGTTACTTTGAATTCGATGGCCACACAATACACATGTTCACTCACTGGCGTCTACTGCCCCCACTGACTAGTACAGTGAAGTTGTCATTGTTTCTGCTTGCACATTGCAGTCTACTCTCCTTGGCTGCCAGGTTACATCAGTATCGCGTAAACTGTTCTCATAATATTAACAATGGCTGGACTTTTTCCAGATGGACCTCTTATATAGTACATATACCCAGATTACAAATAATTTTTGGGTCAACAAGATTAACATATATCAAAACAACTAATTTTATTTTTTTAATTTTTAAAAAGATTTATTTATTTTTTAGAGGGAGGGGAAGTAGGGGAGGAAGAGGGGAAGAGAAATATTAGTGTGGTACACTGAAACATCAGTGTCATACACCCTCTACTGGGGACCTGGCCTGCAACCCAGGCATGCGCCCTGACTGGCAATTGAACCCACGACCATTTGGTTCGCAGGCCATAAACTCAGTTCACTGAGCCACACCAGCCAGGGCAAAACAACTAATTTTTAAATAAAAAATAACCTTTAATGAAATGTTTATTATGACTTAAAAACTAACTAAAAGGGGGACAGTAATTGTACTTGGTATAATTATTGGGGAGATAACTTGCAGGAAGCTAGACTTGACTAGAGTTTGGAGAATGGATAGTTAAAAGCTTTAATGTAGCAAATACTTTCATTTTGAGGGTATCCAGATGATGTATTTATGAAGAGATTTTTGAAAAATCAACTTATTGGATAAAGGCATAGAAGAAATGCTTATTAAGTATGCTGATGCCATATTTCCCAAGCTGAATGGTAAATTCAGTGAGAGCCTCACAGACAGAAATGATGGTTCAAGGAGAACAAGCAAAATGAGATTTAACAGAGGGAAATGAAAATTCTGAAAAATTACAGTCAAGTTCCAAGACATTTTCATCACTCTAAAAGAAAAACCTTGATCCATTAAAAAGTCACTGCCATTTCACCTGACAACTACCAATTTGTGTTCTCTATTTATGGATTACCTATTCTGGATATTTTATGTAAATGGAATTATATGATATATGTGACTTTGTATTTGGCTTCTTTCATTTAGCATAATGTTTTGGAGGTTTATCCGCATTGTAGCATGTATCAGCATTTTATTCCTTTTTATGGCATAATAGGATCCCATTGTAGGGATATATCACATTTTGTTCATCCATTTATTTGTTGATTGACATTTGGTTTGTTTCTACCTTTTGGCTGTTGTGAATAGTGTCGCTATGAGCATTGAAGTACAGAATTTTTTTTGAGTTCCTGATTTCAGTTCTTTTGGGTATGTACCTAGGAGTACAGTTGTTAGGTCACATGGTAATTATGCATGTAACTTTTTGAGGAACTACTAAACTGTTTTCCACAATGGCTACATCATTTTTCATTCCTATCAGCAATGTCTGAGGTTTCCAATTTTTCTACATCTTCATCTATACTTGTTATTTTCTGTTTTCTTAAAAAATTATAGCCATCCAAGTGGGTTTAAGTGGTATCACATTGTGACTTTGATTATTATTGTATTTTTAATTTAATAATATTTAAGAACTCTTTTTAGAGGTGGCACATACGCTTTTAAAGGAATTAAAAATCCAAGATATTACTTAGAACCTTTTCCTGGCATTCTTCTGATTATTCTTTAATTTCCACATATGACTCCAAAGAGAAGCACCCGTAGATACTTGTTTTACCTATTTTTGTATTATAAAGAGATTCCAAATTCAGCAACTTCCCCTTTCAGTCTTACCTTTCTGCAGCTGTAACTTTGCATTTTCCACTGTGAGAATTGGAGATCTCTATATCTGTATCTTAATCAGTTTTATTCAGTTATACTTTATAAGGAATAAAGTTTATCCATTTTAAATATACAGTTTGGATGAATTTTCACAGCTGTACACAGTTGTATCCTGACCATCACAGTCATGATATAGATACAGAAAATCACAGTATAGAAATTTGTCACCGCAAAATGTTCCTTTGTGTCCTGTTTTCTCCCCAGCACGCCAACTCTTGGGAGCAACTGATCTGCTTTCTGTCATTCTGGTTTTTGTCTGTTCCAGAATTTCATATAACTTGGATCATACAGTGTATTATCTTTTGTGTTTGACTTCTTTCTTAGAGTAATTGTTTTGAGATTCATCCATATTGTTTTACATAATAATTCTTTTTATTGCTGGAAGAATTCACTGGCATGGGTGTATCAGACTTTGTTTAGCCGTTCACCAGTTGATGATCATTTAGATTGTTTCTAATTGTTGCCTATTATGAAGAAAGTTGCTATCCCTGGCTGGTGTGGCTCAGTGGATTGAGCTTGGACCTGTGAACCAAAGGATCGCCGATTTGATTCCCAGGACATGAGAGAGGCAACCACACATTGATGTT